CCCCCCCCCCCCAAAACAAAAAAAAAACACACACACAAAAGCCATCCATCTTCTATCACTGCTACAAATGTACTTAAAAGAATCAAAGAGTCCACCTAGGTTCCTTGGTAGTTAAGGAGTGCAATTTTGTCATTATCACTAGTTGCACATAAAGTTTCTGAATACCATATTCGAGGGAAAGCAAACAAGCAAAGAAGAGAGAAATTTTGAATTCTCTTGAAGCTTTCAGGATCAAAAGTAAAGGAACACACCATATCACCCATTAAACCAGAAAGCTGAAGAAGACAGCACAAGAACAAAAGAAGCAGAGAGAGAGAGAGAGAGACGCAGTGGTGCAATAAAGATAAACCCAGAAAAAAAATGTACAGATTCAGTAACACAGTGATAGGTTTCTTGAACCTCTTCACACTCCTAGCCTCAATTCCGATCATCGGCGCCGGATTATGGATGGCCAGGAGCAGCGCCACCTGTGAAAGCTTCCTCCAAACACCACTTCTGGTGGTGGGTTTCGTGATTCTGATCATCTCTCTTGCCGGATTCATTGGAGCTTGCTTCCACGTTGCATGGGCTCTCTGGGTTTATCTTTTGGTCATGTTGCTCCTCATAGGGACTTTAATGGGCTTAACCATATTTGGGTTTGTGGTGACGAGCCAAGGCGGCGGAGTGGAAGTTCCCGGCAGGGTTTATAAGGAGTATCAGCTGGAAAACTACTCGCCGTGGTTGAGGAAGAGAATTAAAGATCCTCATTATTGGATGACTGTTAGGAGTTGCATATTGGGTTCAAAAACTTGTGCTAAGATTGCTTTTTGGACACCTTTTGATTATCTGAGCAGAGACATGTCTCCAATACAGGTGATCTTTTTTTCCTTCTTCAAGGCCTTAATTTATGGTGATGTTGATGAGTTTAAATTTTGTAGCCTTATGCTCTATTTTGGGTGGAGAATTTGAGGTCTGGTTTTATGGCTTTTGGTTNGTAGCCTTATGCTCTATTTTGGGTGGAGAATTTGAGGTCTGGTTTTATGGCTTTTGTTTCTCTCTCTCTCTCTCTCTCAAATACAGAATGACTAGCAAATTTGATAAGTTATCAGATTTTGCTGGGATTGTGGGATGTTAGAGAGTACAAGAAGTTCAAATTTCCTCCTTTTTTTTGTCTAGTTTATTTGGGGGTTGATTGATATATAGTTTTTTTTTTTTTTTGATCTCATTGATATATTGTTCAAAAACTTCTTTTTTTTTGGTTCAATGAATAAGGGTATTCAGACTAATTTACGTGCATCTTAATTAATCCCTTCCCTGGTCTGGTCAAAAATCGACTATCCACGTCAGAACTAGAGTATTCACGATAAATAAATCTCTCAAAGCCTAACTTTAAAGGGTTGCTAAAATTCGAGCTCAAAATATCTTTATTTATAGTTCGTTCCTATTACTAGTTAAGCAACCCCTCTCGAGCTTTATAGTTCAAGAGTTTCAACAGTTCTGTTTCTTTNCCTGGTCTGGTCAAAAATCGACTATCCACGTCAGAACTAGAGTATTCACGATAAATTAATCTCTCAAAGCCTAACTTTAAAGGGTTGCTAAAATTTGAGCTCAAAATATCTTTATTTATAGTTCGTTCCTATTACTAGTTGAGCAACCCCTCGAGCTTTATAGTTCAAGAGTTTCAACAGTTCTGTTTCTTTTTTTTTTTTATCTTAAATTTTCTATGGGAAGAAAATTGTTTTCAAGTAGACTAATAGAAATTAATTATTTTGCTTGATTTTTATATTTTGATATTATGCTATAGGTTTTGTTAAGTCATGATATATTTAAAACTCAAGTATATATAATTATTATAAAGTTTTCCCTTTGTTCTCGTTGATTTCTTAGTCGGTAGTATGTACATCTAATAAAACACCATCATGGTTTAAACCAAAGTGGCCAATCTCTTTCCTTTCAACAAGGAAGGTCAGTGTTTAAAAGATATATTTGCTGTTACAAAAGTCATCTGTTGTCATGTCTAAGACATAAGTTTGATTATTTCAGCAACTTAGCATCTCCAATCCTCTATATATATGTGTGTGTGTGTATCTACGAGAACTCATTTCAATTTTGACCCATCTTATTATTCAGATTTTATAATTCAAATTGTAAAGTTTCATGAAACAATACGCAAAACTGTCATAAGAAATTAACAAATAATGAGAACTTGACTTAACTTAGTTATTCATCCCAACTAGGAGATTAGGGATCAATGCCTATCCAAGATTAGAATTGATCTCTTACACGTCTCTCTTTAAGGTTTTTATTCGGTCTTATTTCCGAGTCTCTTTCTTCATATTAATAGTGAGTCATATGTTCTTCATTGTGATAATGATTTGTTAAGCTTTATTACTTAGTAATTTATTATGTGATCATTCATGTCATGCGCCTCGAATCGCAAACAAAATGTACTCTTGGTGTTGTTTCTAAATGGCAAAAAATCCTATTTGTAACTAATTAACATGAGTTTGTATGCAGTCTGGTTGTTGCAAGCCACCAACTGCTTGTAATTATGCCGCAACGGACCTGGCTCAAGACCCGGACTGCTACCACTGGAACAACGCCCCGAATCTGCTGTGCTACGAGTGCGATTCGTGCCGGGCCGGCGTGCTCGAGGATGCGAGAAGGGATTGGCACAAGCTCTCTGTCCTCAACATAGTCATGCTCATTGTCCTCATTGGCATATACTCCGTTGGTTGCTGTGCTTTCCGAAACACTCAAAGGGCCGAGACCGATTACCCGTATGGCGAGAATCGGATGTCCAAAGTCCGACCCAGATGGGATTTCTACTGGTAAGTCAGGCATCATCATTTCTTAACTATTCTTAGTCTTTTGCTAGAGGAAGATTCTACACTTGCACAAACCAACACTAGGTGAAGTGTAAATGGTTTGGAATATAATGCGTGTCGGGTTCAGATTGTGTTATTTTTTGTGCATATTAAATACTAGTTAACTTAATTTGATCAGTTTAATTAATTATGTCTATTGCTCTGATACTAAATTGATGGTGTCCAGTGTCCTATTCAGGTTTACACGTATAATCCATGATCAAACATACTGCCCATATTTCTTTATATAAAAGTTCACCGGAACGTGATGTTAGCAACATGTAAATTTATAAAAATTTTCTTAATTTCTCTTAATAGTAGATCACGTACTTTGTTTTCATAGTGTTACACTTATATTGGGTAGGTGTAAGCTGAATTTCCGACAAATGATCGATCATCGAGGGTAATTAGAGAAAAATCTAATAGTGGGGACTCCAATCCTAAAATGTCTTTTCCTTGAGTGATTATAAGTAATCAATGATGTGCAATAAATATGAGGCACACATGACTTAAGGAGCTCTAATTTCTCCTAAATGAACAAAATGATAAGCAAATTATGTATGTGTTGATACTGGAAGAGGTCTAGGCTCATTCTTGCATTTTATCTTTTGCATCTCTCTCTCTCTCCTCTGTGTGTGCGCGCTCAAAGAGATGCTTTTGTTTTTTACTTTTTTAAACAGGTGGAGATGGTGGCATGACAGAAGACACCAGCTTTATTGAGCAAAACTCTTATCTTCTTTCAAAGTCTCGATTTGGGTTTCTGGTTCTCCAAAAGATGGGACAATTCTGTGGGTTTTTCAGTGTATGAGCAATGGAGGTTTCAAGGCCTCTCCCTTTACAAAGCTGCTTTTTTTGTACAAAGAAAGATTTATCTTTATTTCATTAGCTCAAACCATTGCTTTTACTTTTGCTTTACTGCATTTACACATTAGTAGTGGTTTGGATACATAACGATGGTGGAAATTATGGACCAACTTGGTTGATAAGGATGTGCTTGGGGGCTTTTATTTGATGGTTGATATATTTTTCAATTTGTTTTTGGCTTGGGACCGACAAACTTTTCAATTTGTTTTTTCTCTTTGGGGTATTTGTTNGATAGATTTTGGAGAGGGGCAGAGATAGGCCGAGATCAACAGTTGCAGATTTGAGTGGTTAAGGATAGATGATAATTGTGTCATTAAAAAGAAAATTACAATTAGTATGAACTTAATGACTTAAAAGATTTGTGATTTTCTTTATTGTCAAAAAAAAAATTAGAAAAATGTACTTGATTTAAATTTAATAACTGCATTAAATTAAGTGCTTATAACATTTCTATTAACCTTACATGTTTATATATATAAATAATGATAACACACGACAATGATAAAATAGTGTCACCTACACTGGATTGATCTAGTTGGCGGCTTGAACACGNGAAGCAACGAGCGAACAAGTGGACCGTTGCGAGTGAGTTGGGATTTTATAGGTCACGAGCTGCAATGAGCGGTGATAGATTTTGGAGAGGGGCAGAGATAGGCCGAGATCAACAGTTGCAGATTTGAGCGGTTAAGGATAGATGATAATTGTGTCATTAAAAAGAAAATTACAATTAGTATGGACTTAATGACTTAATTCTTTGAAGTATTTGTCTTTAATGACTTAAAAGATTTGTGATTTTCTTTATTGTCAAAAAATTTTAGAAAAATGTACTTGATTTAAATTTAATAACTGCATTAAATTAAGTGCTTATAACATTTCTATTAATATAAATAATGATAACACACGACAATGATAAAATAGTGTCACCTACACTGGATTGATCTAGTTGGCGGCATGAACAGGNCAATGATAAAATAGTGTCACCTACACTGGATTGATCTAGTTGGCGGCTTGAACACGCAGTGACTCTTTGATTGCTGATAATAAATTAATAAATTTAAATTTAATCTTAATAAATTTAAACGATAAACTAGTTATTTAATAAATGGGCCGACATGACAACACCTAAACACAACACCAACTTAGCTAAGTATGACTAAACATATATAACATAAATTTGATTATACACGATTTATAAATGAGTGAAATATGAATTGAATAAATTTTGACACAAGAACTAAATAATTACAAGGTTACAAAAAAGGATTGAATACGGCTTATTGATAATAGGATATAAATATTATTATAAAAACTGAAGGATGGGGAAAGAACAACCACAAGAACTCTTGAAATTCATCTATATTGAACCTGACATCATACGCACCTGCACAATCGGACAACGCATACGAATAAAACAGACCACCTCTGACATTATGGAGGCATAGTAGGNTGATTATACACGATTTATAAATGAGTGAAATATGAATTGAATAAATTTTGACACAAAAACTAAATAATTACAAGGTTACAAAAAAGGATTGAATACGGCTTATTGATAATAGCTAGACCCAAACAACAATACATTAGCGGTTACAACCCACTTTTAATGCTCATCGAATAATAATTTACCTTCCGGAACAAAAAGATTAATAAAGTTTCTACATATAATAATGTGGTGATAAGTCCCACTTGGTAACTAGATTATACTAATGATCATTTTGACGATATGGAGGTGCAAGTTGATGGGTGAGCATTCCACCACAACAGCAGAAAATGCCAACCACTTTTCCTTCAATTTTCTTTTTGGCGGTCCATTTATCATTAATAAGTAAACGATCCACTCATATACAATAGATCACACTTAAAAATACATCCGCCAAAAAGAAAAATTGAAGAGAAAATGTAATAGAGAATTTTCAAATGCTAAAAAGGGATCCAAAACATGTCGCCTGCGGGTTAAATGAAACAGTCAATTTATAAGGTTTCTGTATTAGAACTTCCCAATGAAATTCTCCTAAATAACCAAAAGAAGAAAATAAAGACCACAACTATGTACACTGCACTCAACTTACCTAATTGAAAACTTCAAAATATGAAGGAATCAACAAAATTAAAAAGTTGTAGGATATAAATATTATTATAAAAACTGAGGGATGGGGAAAGAACAACCACAAGAACTCTTGATATTCATCTATATTGAACCTGACATCATACGCACCTGCACAATCGGACAACGTATACGATAAAACAGACCACCTCTGACATTATGGAGGCATAGTAGGCATATGAATCTTGGCTGCCTGGATTACAAAAATTGCATTTCCAGGGCTTTCAAACATTCTCTGTGGCATCTCTTTCTGACTCTTCTGGCTTTCCCGCTGTAACCAACATGTCAGCTGCTAATCTCTCTTCCAGAGCTCGAGCACCCCTTTCCCTGCAGTCCAGCAATGAAAACATGGTCACAAACTATAAATTTCGAACCCAACGCCCCTCGCAAGGAAAAACACACACGAGAACACAGTTAAGGACAAGGTCCCTGGTGCACCACACAACTGAAGGAGGTCGGAGGAAACAGTAATAAATAGGTCCCTACCATACCATTACTATTATCTTGCTACTGTCATTTTCAGTTTCACGAATATATACCCATTGCATGTTTACTCACCATAAGCCCTTTTTTTTTGGGTTTAGGCCCAAATAAGATATTGTTATTTTGGCATACCGCTCTATTGAAGTGAGCTTGATATGTGGATCTATAATTTTTCTGCCAGAACTCTCTACTCCAGAATGAAATTATTGACATCACTATTCTTTGGTAACTGACAAATTTGAATTCACTAATGTATAATTTTTGTCAAATTCTGAGAAGACAAAATGCTAAAAGGGTACATTATATGCCCCAATTAATGGCAATATTCCACAGTTCTTATTTTTGTTTTTCTCTTTTCAGAACATTTTTTTTGCATCGCATGTAACCAATTAAAATGATTACGACATGTCATCACTCTTACAGAAATAGTTCTGTTTTACGTCACGGATCTATATAAGAATTTAGAATTAGTAATGTTGACATCTTTTATGATCAGTCTTCATAAAGACTAATCAGGACCTCAATGTAGCAATTGGGTTGTGCATTCAAATGCTATCAGAAGCAAGAGCAATTTCCAAAGTGAAACTGTTCGTACCTGTTGCTGCCATCAGATTGACAGTAAAAATAAATGCCGCGTGTGTTTTTAAGTTGATATTTTTTTTCAATCATATTGACTCACCAAATTAATTTCCATGAGAATATGACATCGTTGACAAAGAAGCAGTAAAGATTACCTCCTCCTAGTTGCCTCAATGGGGTCAGAGCCAGGCAATGGAGCTCCACCTAGGGTGTAGCCCCTGGCCTCATTGGAAGTTTCAGAACTTCCACAGAGTATCCGATCAAAAATTGTAGCAATGGGATCAATGACAGGTCTGCAGAAAGATGCAGCGTTAGAGAGAGAGAGAGATAGCAGCACTGACAAATTGTTATTTTCAGTGCAAATGTAGCAGAAAGCCTAAATTACCTTAAAAGTTCAGGGAAGAATGTAGAAAATGCAAATTCATCACTAGGATCTCCCCTAAGTTTTGTTTCTGGTTTCCTTTGCCAGTATCTGAGGTAAATCCAGCTTATATAGATGCCAAATATTAATGTTGGAAGGTACGTAGCTGACTCTTCTGTAAAGAAGCTTACAACAATGGACAACAACAGCGTGAGAGATGGCAACCACTGCAGAAAGTCAGAACAACAAAGGGAGGACGTGAGGGAAGATGTCTTCAACTCTTGGAACATTATATAAATGGTTCTGAAAATGGATGAAGACATTTCGCTTTTTACAAAAATGTTCATACCTTTGCTTTTATTCTCAGCAATGACAGCTCTTGGTCGGGCAGTATTTGCTTGATGCCAACTAAGAATCCCAAAAGGACCCCATGGAAACCAGAAAGAGGCATATAACTGCCGAAAGAAGAATGATAAGAAATGGTGGACTAATCAATAATGGCAGTTGTGGAAGGGAGAGACGATTAATTCAACACCAAATGATAAAACAGAGAACACAACAAAATAAGTTGAGCAAAACAGAAAAGGTGAAAAACCATCATGTTTCTAGGATAAAGAGGATCCTATATTACTTACAGGTAGTTTTCCTGCCTTGTTATGTAGTACANAATTCAACACCAAATGATAAAACAGAGAACACAACAAAATAAGTTGAGCAAAACAGGAAAGGTGAAAAACCATCATGTTTCTAGGATAAAGAGGATCGTATATTACTTACAGGTAGTTTTCCTGCCTTGTTATGTAGTACAAAGAAATAGCTGTAATGAAAACACAAACAGAAGTCAAGAAGTTAACTACAAAGATGAACTTCAAGAATTCCCTAGAACCCCAAAGGGGTTCAAGCAGCTTCCCAATAAAAAGGAGACCAACTGTGCTGATGACCACCTGGAAAGCAAATGTGACTTTCAGAATCACCTCATAAAGAAAAGTAAAAGCAAGAAGGCAGCTCACAGGGAAAGCAACGAAGTGCCGAAAGAAGTAACTGCATTGATAGCAGCCAAAAAAGTGTATACCCCATGTACTGTTTGCTCAATGTAACCACCTGTTATGAGATTCCAAGCAAATGGAATTGTCCTGCAATATATTACAGGAACCAAGTGTGAGTAACTGAAGCAGTTGCTGCAAATTCAAAGGATCGTGCTATTTCTAGAGAAAATTATATTTTAAGGCATTCAGAATAAATTTCATTTGCAATAATAATAAGCCAGGAAAAACGGCCATCAGCTCGTAAAATAATATATTGGACATACATCACACATTTCTAGCTCTAACAAAAAACAAAACAAAACAAAAAAAATGGAACTGTGAAACTTTAAATGATTTATTCAAGGAATTCATCCTCAACAGTTTTGTTCAACTTCTGATATAACCATGTTAGGGAATTGTTTGCACCACTTAGATGTGATGCTGACTAAATAAACATCCAGGGAAATTGATGAAGGCAATTAGTTCCAAAAGAAATATTCGAATCAACTTCTCTTTGTTCCAGAATAACAAAAAAAATATTTCATAAGCAACAATACTAACTAGACTACTATGCTTAAGAATTGGTACAAGTATATGCTAGTAGGCTGAGATGGAGATGCAGAACAATATTGTCTGAGAGACCAGCTAATTGTTTCACCTCTTTTATTTTCGTTTTTCTTATGCCAAGTGATCCCTTTAGGGAACCTTCTAATTAATAAGTTCCAGATGCCATTAAGGTGTTGGTATAATTACTATCATGACTGACCATGGCAAGAGTTGGCATCTTCAAAATTAACAATTTAACATGTATATAAACATGCCAATATACGACCGCATAGGTCAAGCGTCATTAATAAACCACAGATCCGACAAAAGAAAATGAATGAGGCTCAAGGTCATCTTCTCATAGAAAATATATTAAGGTCTCAAGCAAAGTTCAACAATAGTGGATTTTATCAAATAAGCAAACTGCTCAAATAAATGTTAATAATAACAACAACTTTAATAATATGGCAGTCAGTTATCTGGACCTCTTATGCAGCTATTCAAGATTAGTTTTTTTGCAATCGATTAACGAACACTAGCTTGTCAACTTAGCACAATAGTTCTTCTGTAATCTAGTAAGTGACAAGACCCAAAAATATTGTGAAATAATTCTGCTAGCTCATTAAGCAAGACAATGGATCACTTTTCTACCCCTTTTCCACTTTCTGTTTGCGGCTTTACATTACCTATTCTTACAAACCTTGTACCTATTTTTGTAGAATTCGTGACCCAAATGTTAGCAGGTGCAAGTACACGCTGCATTTCTTATCGAGAGGTGCAAGAATAACAATTCTTACACCAGCTGGAATTGGATCCAGTCCCTAAATCAATAAAATTAAAGTTTACACCGATGAAAACACCCGAGATGTGAGGCAGAATGAGAAATTTAACTGTGATACATGTTTCATCTTTAACTCTACACACGACAGGGACATGCTTTTCGTCACTCATTCGGTGTTCATCAAGATTAGAATGTCCTGCCACTAACGAAATTTTGCTTCTAAATCAACACTCGATCCTCACATTACACACACACATAGAGAGAAAACCAAGAACAAGCTATGTAAATATCGAAAATTACAACGAGAAAAATTGAAACAAAAGACGAGAAAAGTACTTGGCGGGAATGAGAGCAAGGTAACTAGCGGCAGAAGGGAAGATCTGAAGAACAATGTGTCCACCAACTAGAACGACCGCTAGGCCCTTGCACAACCTTGTAAATCCCGTAAACAAGCTCGCGCCCTAACAATTCCACACCAAATATTCAATCTTCTTGCACTCTTCAATTATTTATTTGAGCAATATTAAAGAGATTTGTAGCTCTGATACAGAAATCTATTCGAGAGAGCGAGAGAGAGAGACATACTCCTGAAAGTGCCGGAGTACTCATGGCTTTGAGAATTGGTTGTGAAGAAGAGTGACTCGATTGATTTTTGTGTTCTGATTTTGTCCGGCGAAGACTGGCTTTGGAGAAGAAGAGGAGGTTGGTACGTATGGTACATCGCAGGCGGTGTGAGTAATACAATTTCAATTGAACAGTGGGATTTGGTGTGGGACAGCACACCGTATTGGATGGATGGCGGCACGACATCATCGTTAAGTTTGGATAACTTAACTGAACCCCAATCCATTATTTTGCTAAAATTGTGTAATTCAATTAAGAGTTTTCCGTACACGACAAGATTTATGGAGAGACATCTCTTTCAATGTTTTGATTTAATATCGGAACTTAATTTTATAGAAGCGAGTTTATTATTAATATTTATATAATAAATTAGAATACAATTTAAATTTTAAAAAATAAATAAAATATTTTTTTTTCGCAATTAAGATTTCTTTAAACTTTATTTTAAAGTTAATCCGACGGTTAATATTAACACTTCAAATTTAACAAGGAAATAGATCTCTAAGAGTATGTTTAAGTGACTTTTAAAAAATATTTTAAAATTTATAACTTCTCATAAGTACTTAAAAAAAAGTATTTAAAATCGTCACACCATCATCAATACCACCACCCCAACCACCATCACCATTACCATCACCCTAGTCATCCCCACCATCACCACCACCCCACTCTTACCCCCACCATCACCACTACCCTACCCCCCACCCCACTACCATCATCATTACCACCACCATTGCCATTCCACCACCACATTTGCCATAACAATCGTCGCCGCCCCACCACCACCTCCACAATTGCTTACCATCACCCCCACGACTATCACCACTACCACTATCGTCATCCAAAATCAACTACCACCATCACTGTTGTCATTTACGACTGTCACCATCATCATGATCGTTATCAACCATCACAACCATCACCGTCTCTCACCACTACCACCACTGCCACCCATGACAACTAAAAAAAATCACCCTCTATTATAATCGGTGTTTAAATTCTTTTCTTTTTCCTTTATGTTTGTGATTTAATTTTGCGTATGAATATAAATATGCTTATTGTTGACCATTTTTTTTATTACTCTGTATCTTTAGACATAGGTAATAATCTATATAATAAATTAGTTTACAATTTAAATTTCAAAAAGATAAACAAAATGGCTTTTGCTATTCGCGATTGAGATCATTTTAAATTTTACTTTAAAGTTAATCTAATTGCTAATATTAATACCTAAATTTAATAGGAAAAATAGGCCCCTAAAGGTGTGTTTGAAGTGACTTTTTAAAAGTATTTTGAAAAATTATTTCTCATAAATACTTTAAAAAACAAATAGTGTCTAAAACTGTTTCACCACTACCTCTACCACCACCATCACCACCGTCACCACCACCGTCATTGTCACCGCCATCACCACCGCCACTGCCACCGCCACCACTATCATCGCCACCACCACCCACCACCATAACTATCGGCGTCGTCGCCCCTACTGTCGCCACCACCACCATCATCGTCATCGCCACCGCCACCGCCACTGTCACTGCCACACCCACCACCACCATCGTCGCCACACCCACCGTTGCCACTACCGCATCGACACCGTCCCCACTATCGCCACCATCGCCACCACCCCCCACCCCCACCACCACCCCTATCGCCACTCCCACCGCCACCATGGTCATTGTCATCCACCATAACTATTACCGTCTCCTTCTACCTCCACTGTCGCCCACCACCTCTCACCTCTATTACAAATCGATGCTTAAATTCTTTTATCTTTTCTCTATATTTGTAATTTGATTTTGGATATGAATATAAATATATTTATTGTTTACTATTTTTTATTACTCTATACCTTTATGCACAAACAATAACTATTAGTCTATATAATAAAGTACAATACAATTCAAAATTTTAAAAATACAGAAAATGACTTTTACTTTTCGCGGTTGAGATCTCTTTAAATTTTACTTTAAATTTAATTCGACGGTTAATATTAACATCTCAAATTTAATGGAAAAAATAAGTACATAAGGGTGTGTTTGGAGTAACTTTTTAAAAGTACTTCTAGAATTTATAACTTTTAGTATGTACTTTAAAAAAAAAGAGTAGTATTTAGAACTACCCCACCACCATCCCCACAGCCCCACCACCAAAACTACCCTCACCACCACCGCCCCCATCACCACTACCATTGTCGCCACCACTCCACCACCTTAACTTCAACAACAACCACCACTGTCACCACGCCACCATCACTACCACATCCACCGCCTCACCCACCACCATCACCACTACCATTATTCTTATTCCCCCACTGCTACTATCATCACCGCTACTGCTACCTTACCACCCTCATCGCCCTACCCCTACTACAGCTGCCATCCATCACCACTAACACCACCTCACCACCATCAACGCTACAACCACTTTACCACCATCACCCTTACCTTCACCACTGTTGCCACCACCTTACCATCACCGCAACTATCCCACTATCACCATCACCACCGTTGCCATCCACGGTTACCACCATCACCAACGGTTGTTGTCACCCACCACAGCCATAACTGTCTCTCAGCACCAACACTACCACCATTCACCCCACTACAACCGATGCCTAAATTCTTTTTTCTCTCATCTATTTTTGTGATTTGATTTTGAGTGTGAATACAAAGGAGTGTCAATCGTGTCGTGTTGTACCAGTTTTGTGTCGTGTCATTTTCGGTCGTGTTATTTTCGTGTCGTATCATTTTCGGTACGTGTCGGGTTCGTGTCAATATTCGTGTTAATAAAAAATTATTTAATTTGACAACAACTAATATAATATTATTTAAAAAATTATAAAATTCTTATTTTCTATTTACACTACTCATTAAATAATTATTTTCTATCTATTGTATCCATTAAACGTGTTATTCGTGTTGAACCTTAATTTGACCATTTATTACTCGTGTCAACTAATCGTGTTATTTTCGAGTTCATGTCGGGTTCGGTTCAAGTTGGGTTTGTGTTCGAGTCAAAAGTTGATACCTTAGAATACAAATATGTTTATTATTGATAATTTTTTTATTACTTCGTGCCTTTAGGCACGGATAATAACTAGTCTATATAATAAAGTACAATATAATTAAAATCTCAAAAGATAAATAAAAACGGTTGAGATTGTTTTAAAATTTTATTTTAAAAATCTGACGGCTAATATTAATATCCTAAATTTAATAAGAAAAATAGGCCACTAAGGATGTGTTTGAGGTAACTTTTTAAAAGTGCATCTAAATTTATAATTTCCCATAAATACTTTAAAAAAAAAATGGCGTTCGAAACCGCCCTACTACCAGCACTACCATTACCCCCACTACCCCACCACCATTACCACTACCACACAACCATCACCACTACCACCACCCCACCACCACAACCATCATTTCCCATCACTAGTATTACCACCACCGTCATCACTACTGCTGCCACTACATATACTATAACAATCATCATCATTGTCGCTATCACTACTGTTGCCATCCCCACCACACTCATCGCCCCACCACCATCGTTGTCGCCACCCTACCACCACCCCTACCACCACATCTTCCACAACAACCACCACCACTGCCATCACTTTACCACCACCCGCCATCATCCACACCCTCACCACCACCTCATTATCCCCACCACTGCTGCCGCCACCCTACTACTACCGTTACTGTCCCACCACTACCCCTACAACCATCATTCTCACTGCCCCCACCTCCACAACCATCACCACCACCGCCACCCCCCACCACCGTTGCCACTCATTACTGATTATTATTACCATTGTCTAACATCACCACTCACTACCATCGTATTCTTATATTTATTACTAATACCACCATCATCAAACTACCACTGTCGCCCACTATCAACACCCACCAACACCATTGTTGCCCACCATCACCACCGCTGCCGCCACCTTACCATCACCGTCACTGTCCCACCATCATCCCTACCACCACCCTTATTGTCCCATCACCACCACCACCGTTGCCACCTAGTCTCCCACCACCACTACTACCGTTTGCCCCCACTATAATCGAAGTTTAAATTTTTTTTCTTTTTCCTGTATCTCTTGTGATTTGATTTTGGGTGTAAATATAAATTTATTTATTGTTGATCATTTTTTTTTATTATTTCATATTTTCAGGCATGAAAAATAACTAGTATACGTTATGATGCACATAAAATATATTATTAATGCTATAAGGACCTTATTTGGAGACTTTATTTAGGGACCTAATGATGTACATGAATAAGGTCTCCAAATAAGGTCCAAATAACATTTTCCATTTTAAGTAACCTCAAAAATTGTAAATGATTCTTAAAAATTATCAATGACTCTCAAATGTTGTAAATGATCTCCAAAATGGCGGTATCAGAATTTTTTTTTTTTGGGTACGTAAAATTTTCCTAAGAGTATTGCTTAACGTTTGTTTTAAATAAGTTAATTCGGTTCCATAAGTTAATTACAAGACTAAGGTACAACTGTTGGAAACCATACCAAAAATATCTCTCATCCTTTCGCAATAATTATGTTCGACCTAGTGTCAATATATCTTTTTCGTAAACATAATGCAGAAAACAACACACACAAACTTCCCTCATATTCTATCACTAGTTATTGTTTGTGCCTGAAGACACAAATCAATAAAAAATGATAAACAATAAATATATTTGTATTCATATTTAAAATCAAATCACAAACATAGAGAAAAGATAAAAAAATTAAGCATCGATTTGTAGTGGAGGTGAGAGGTGGTGGGCGACAGTAGTGGTGGTAGGAGACGGTGATGGTTGTGGTGGGTGTTAATGATCGTGGTGGCTATGAGGGCGGCAACGATCGTAGTGGTGATGGCGGAGGAGACGGTGGTGGTGGTGGTGGCAACGGTGATAGTGGGGGTGGCGATGGTGATGGTGGAAGTAGCGGTGGTGGAGGAGGCGGTGGTGGTGGTGGGAGTAATAGTGGTGGCGACAATGGTGGTGATGGTGGTGGTGGCGACAGTTGTGGTGGCGGTGGTCGTGGGGGTGGTGATGACGACGACCATGGTGGTGGTGGTGGTGGGGGCGGCAACGACGGTAGTTATGGTGGCGACAACAACGATGGTGGTGGCGACGGTGGTGGTGGTGGTAGCGACAATGACAACAATGGTGGC